AGCTCGGCTTCTATCCTAGAGGGACCAACCTCAACATCCTTGAAAGCCCCTCGGACTCATAATCAGACTCACTAGAACCAGAAGAGCTAGAAGTGGAAGAAGAATGGGAAGATGAGGAAGACATCTTACCGAGCTTGAAGCCGAGGAATAAAAACAAAATGTCGAGCAACGCAGACAACACCCCACCGAGCTATCCAAGCAACTCATCTCGCAAATGGCAAAGGGGGAATGCCCATCCATCCCTACTTATAACCCGTAGGAACGCGAATCGACACCAGATCTACGGTGAGGATCAAGTGCCGCTTTGACAAAGCTCGGGAAGACCAATTGTGTGACTGTTACCGCATGCGCAAGGCCTCGGGAACCAAAGCAACGACCTCAACAAACAACGGCCAGGGCATTAATTGCCCCGGTGCACCCTGTAGCAGCGGTCCAACCAACGTCACAGATGCTCGAGGTTGGCCCAGGACCACTGGGTCAACCGATTTCTCTAGTTTCTCTGGGATGCCCAACAGCAAATACCAACCAAAGGAGGCCTCTTTGTGCCTCAGCCGAGCACCCCACTCTTCAACTTTGGAACTGGGGGAGTGGTGCTTGGATTCCGAGATTTCAAGCACAAGTTCCTCAACCGAAGACCAGGGTCCTCGACTCCACGGCTCGTTACCTCCGAGGCCCCCAACTACAAAGCTCGGCACCTCTGAGGCCCCCAACTTCAATGCTCGGCATACCATGGCTGAGCATCAGCTCTGTAGCTCAACACCTCTGAGGCCCCCAACTTCAAAGCCCGGCACCACCGAGGCCCCCAACTTTAAAGCTTGGCATACCATGGCCGAGCATCAGCTCCGTAGCTCGACACCTCTGAAGCCTCCAACTTCGAAACTCAGCATACCATGGCTGAGCATCAGCTCCGTAGCTCGGCTCCTCTGAGACCCTCAACTCCGAAGCTCGGCATACCATGGCCGAGCATCATAATGGCCTCAGCCCTGTAGCTCCACACCTCTAAAGCCCCAACTTCGGAGCTTGGCACATCATGGTCGAGCATCACAGCGGCCTCAACTCCGAAGCTTGGACTCCAACTCCAGAGCTCGGCATACCATGGCCGAGCATTACAATGATCTCAACACTGGAGCTCGACTTTCACTGGGAATCAGAGAGTCGTTCCTCGGCCCCACCAAGAAGATGGACCTCGAAGCTCAACTTGACACCTCAGCGCTCTGCCGACCTATGCGACCATGCAACACTTCGAACCGAGCACTCCCTCTCCTCGGCTCCAGAACTGGGGGAGTGGTGTTCGGATTCCAAAGTTAGGATTCTTGGAGTTCTGCAGCCAACGATGGAAGGCTTCCTCGGCCACATCCCATATTGCCCAGACCCCAGGATTATGGCAGGCGTTGAGGAACAACAAAGGGACCAGATGCTCAACTAGATTAACTTAGAAGTTTCCCAGCTGAGGAATGAATTGGAAGTACTTCATTCCTCAACTTCAGAACTGGAGGAGTGGTGTTCGGGTCATGGCTGAGCTGATCCTGAGAGACACGTGGCCGCCCAATCATTGCCCGGCCACATCGGCTTAGCTTGGCCACATTGGTATAGCTCAGTCGAGCTATGCTATTATTGTGGCCCCCCATCCTATCCTTTCAGCCACGTTAGCTATACATCACATGGATGAGCACAACTATGGATAAAGAGGAGTAAGGAAGATGACTCCGTTGAGGAATGGGACTCTATCCCGAATACCTCGATGGCTAACCTCATCCCGACAACCCCGGAAGCCCAATTCGACCAGGACACGGATCTTTGGCTATAAAAAGGCATTCCATGCTGAAGGTAAGGGACCCAACTTCTGACACAGATACTGCTACTTAGCTCAGACCAGCATCCTCATAGCTCGGCCTGATCATCTACCACTGCCTACTGACTTGAGCATCAGAGTACTTACCCGAGGATAATTCCTCGGGCCTCTGACTTCTCCTTTCTTGATCATAGGTTTTGAAGCACGGCCTCATCCTTGTAGCTCAGCCTCACCCTGCCAGCAAGGGCTATCTGGTTGCTATCCTCAGTTCGTGCACCACCTCGGATTGAGCAACAGTATCTATATATATAGATAGATAGATAGATATAGATAATATGTGTATAAAATATTTAGGAAATTTTATTTTATGAATTTATGCAATATGACTATAAAATATAACAAATATGTATAAATAATATAGATATAAATATGTATTAATGGGACGGGCCAAAAATGATCACCCATCATGAAGTTTTTCATCCCAAGAACTATGTACGCATCCTGAAAGAAAGCATTGACACCTACAAGTGCAATTTTTGTGAGTTAGGGTTGGGATTTTATCAAAATTCTAATGGACCCAACCCATCTAACCCACCAACCCATTAATGACCCAATTAGATAGAATTAAATGGGTTGGGTTCAACCCAAACCCACCTGAACCAAACCCAACCTATTTAGATAAAATAATGAAAATTACACAAAAATAACCCAGAAAATTAAGAAAAATAACATAAATTATGCAAAACCCAGAAATTGAAGAAAAATAACATGAATTACAAAAAAACAAATAAATACATGAAAAATAACATAAATTACAAAAATAACCCAGAAAAATAACATAAATTACAAAAAAAAAGTCCAAAAATGAAGAGGAAATTTCACCTCCACTTCAATGTCCAAATCCCTCCAGCTTGTCTCCAGATTTAAGAGTTGGGAATAATTCCTCTTGGGATTAAAAGAAGATTTTAAAATTTAAGTAGGAAAACCTCAACTGAAAAGGCCAAGTGTGAAAGTCCTAATTTCAGCAAAATATGTAGAAGTAAAGAATGATTTTTTGTCCAGAAAAAAAAATATCAAAATAAAATGCAGAAAAAGAAAAACAAGTAGAAAAGGAATGAAATGCTCCAACCTCGCCAAAATCCTCTACTTATATACAAGTGATAAATGAACAGTTGCAATGAGTTTGAGAGATGTGAATGGCTTACCAGTAGTTAGAGGTGTAAATCGGGCCATGCAGCCCGTGGCCCGGCATGAATTTGGACCGGCCTGGAACGATGGTCCACGGGCTATGCCAAGCCCGGCACGATCATGCGGGTCGTGCTAGGCCTGGGGTTTTAGGTCCATGGGCCGGGCCAGCATGGCACGACCGAGCAAGTCGTGCCGCCCGCGGCCCGCGTGCCAACATGACCATATGTATTATTTATATATATTTTTTATATATTTATATAAACTATAATTATATAATAATATATAGTATATAATATATGAATAAAATAAATATTTTTTAATTTTATTATACTAATTTATTTAATTATTGTATATATAAGCAATTGTATACATCAAAATTCATATAAAATTAAAATTTTAAGTTTTTTGTCAAATTTTTTAAATAAATAGCTTTGGCCTGATGCACGGCCTGACCTAGCCCAAGGCTCGGCCCACAGGCCAGCCCAGCTCACGGCACAGCAAGGGCCCACACGAGCCTGAGCCGTGGGCCGTGTTAGGCCAACCCCAAGTTATCCCAAGTTAGGGCGGCACGTCTCCACACACACTTTGCATGCATCGCCCACGGGAGTTTTACACCTCTACCAGTAGTTTCTGCACCAGTATCAGATTTCCAGCATGAAGTACAATTATCACATTAGTATCGAACTCCTTGTACTCAATCCGAATTTCACCGATATATTAGTGGAACCTCCGTCTTCCATGACTTAAGACAACAACACCGATACTGTTCATATCACCGATACTGTTCATGTCGAAAGTAATGTTCTTTAACGATTACAGTAATTATGAAGAAATGTAGGCCTTGGCATAGAGAGAAAATCGTGAAAAACAGGAGTAATGATATTTCCAAATAAAAAAGAAAATAGTCTTATTGGATGCCCGTTGGATGCCCATGACCCAACCCATTAAAAATATTTTTATTGGGTTGGCCCACCCGCTAAAGACCCAAATTAACAAATACAACCCAACCTGCTAATAAATGGGTGGGTTGGGTTGTAAATTGCCACTCCTACCCTCAATTATCTCTCCATCAATTTAATACACAATGTATATGAGATATTTTCAATATGTGGGTGGATTTCAATGTTTGAGGATGCGTGCAGAATCTTGTGGGGAGGGAATGCGAGAGTGGGACCATAATGTCACGTGAGTAGAACGTGGACTGTGGACAGTACACAGCAGCCACATAATTCCTTAACACAGCATTAGGAATATCTTCCGTATTTATTAATAAATATTTACAGGAGATGTTTTAATACACGGTAAATGTGTGTATGAAGCGCCCACTTATGAATAGATCCCATCAGGACAGTGTGAGAGATTTAATTAACATCTTTTATAGAAGCGGGATCTACTGTGCTCACACGCACATCCACCGTGCATTAGGAATATCTCCCGTGAAAAATAATTAATAAATACGAAAAATATTCCCAATACATGGTAAGATGTGCGTGTGAGGCGCCAAGTGAGTAACAGATCCGGTCTCTTTCTTACAGTGCCCCCTGATTCGCTGAAGTGAAATAAAGCCAATAATTAAGCAAACCATCTTGTCGTGCTCGTGGTGCGTAACCTCTTTAACATGCGCACCCCCACTGGCAGCATCCACCTGTAATTCGTGTTGCGCAAAGCTTCGCAGATAAAGCCAATAATTTGTAAACTATCTTGCCTTAGATGTATTGCTGTGGCCCACCAAGAAAACGTGGTTTCAATTCATCTAATTCAAAGTGGGGCCGTAGCAATACTTGAAAGGCTTCGATTTCGTTGTTTGAGCGCTGCTCTACGACTGGTGGCATTGCAAAAGTGGTTTCGGGGCCTGAGGGAGTTGGGAGTTGGGAGTTGGGATAGAGACAGACCCCACTACCGGCTTCTGTGGTTTTCTGATGGTAGCACAGATTGAAAACGAAACAACTCTCCTGCTTCCCTTTCGTCCGCATTCATGCGCACGTTAGTATCTCCATTTATTAAATAAAAATTAAGAACAAGCAAAAATGGAGAAGTTTATTACAAGGGGGAGAGGGAGGCGAGAAAAGCTTTCCGTCCTAGTCCTCCTCCGTTGGCCGTCCCGTCGGCGTTTTTGCAATTTGCATTGCTATCAATTCTGCGTTTCCGGGGAGCAGATACGGTTTTGATTTGAGCTCAAAGTGGACAAAATCCTAAAACCCAAAAAGAAAAAGTTTTCTGGTTTGAGAAAAGGAGATGTGGGGGGATGGCGGCAGGCTTTACTGGGGAAGAAAGGAGGGTGGGAAGGTCGAAGGGATCGTCGTAGTATTCGCTTGGATTTCAAGTCAGGAGAAACACGTCAGGTCCTACGTTCAGCTTTACTCTTCCCTCGGATGGAATTCCCTCGTTTGTCATTCCGAATTTTTCAACCTGTAAGTCCAATTTCCTCAATTGGTCCTTTTTCTTTTCTTCTCCTTGCTTTGGTTTTTTTTTTGATGGATTTCCCTAACGCCTCGTTTTGGTTTCGAATTTAATTTTGATTTTTTGGTATCGGTTTGCTCTATTAAGCTCCACTGAATTCCCCAAGTTGCATTTTTGGTGTCAGCTTGTTTGGAATTGATAAAATTGAAGGGTATAAGTATCACAATTTGAAGTTGTGGTGGGCCTGCTTGGTTGTTTATTTCTATAGAAATGTGGCTTCGGAATTAATTTAGGAAAGTTGCAGTAAGGTACAGAACTATAAATTTTGATCAACCAACAACAGGCCCTTTATTCGAATTCCCAAGGGGTATAGTTTTGAAGTTGACCTTCATTACTCAGCTGGGGACCCAAGTATTTACATGGAGCTGGAAAAGAACCGAATTCATCTTAAATGCGTATGAGAACGTATGTAGGATGTGTATTCCTTTAATGAGAAAACATCACAATACTAGTTGAAGATGGTCACATTAGTTCTTTGCAGTGTTGATTTCGCCATGAAATGTGCTTATGCATCTGTTGCAGCTCCTAAATTCTAGGTTAAAATAAATGAACAGATATAGGATTTTGAATGTGGTTCTAATACTGTAAGTGGCTCAGCATGAGAATTTTGGAATACTGATGGAGATATCGAGATATTGATGATCAATATTCTGTTAAATGAATTTACTATTTCAGCTGTTACTATTGTATTAGTAAGTTGGTGGGCATGGAGAAAGGATTGTAGGATTATCTGTTGTTCTTATCTAAAGACTTTGGAATTTTAAATGTCTGTGCTTTACCTTAAAGAGAATTACAATTTCTCATGAAAATTTAAACCTATATAAATCTATACCATGTTCCAGGGAAGAAAGCTTGATGAGCAACTGAGATTTATCAGTGTAGTTTCATTTGTTTAATTTTTGGTAGGCCTTAAGGAGACTTCATTTTAGAAGCCTAGAATGCTTAAGGAGACTTCAATATGGCACAGATAACATGCTTTGGTAGGCCTTGCGTGGATTTTTGCTTATCTTGCAACAGATGTTCTACCTATTGTAGGAGCTTGACTTAACATGATCAAACTCGGGAGATAATTTCAACTTCCTTTAACAATTTTAACTATGATGCCTTAGTGAGGTAAATGTGATTGTCTTCTTATATTGTATTGCATATAAGTGTATGATGAGGGGGTGGTGGCTGGTTACTTTTTTACAAATCTTATCATATTGGAAGTAAATAAGATTTAGGTAACCTTTTATTTTATTGTTTGCACAAGGCATTTGCTTCCCCCTTTTCCCTTATATTGCAGTTTTCTGAATGTAGACAGTTTTCTCCTGAAACTTACGAGTTTCAACATTGACTTATTCTGCAGTTTCTTCCCTGAGAGAGCAACATCATTGGCATTTCTCATTCTCAATGAGCTGGCCAAGGTTAGTGTTATTACAGTTAACTTGATCTTCCAAATGAACTTGTTTAGGTTACAATCTGATGCAGGTCCCCATTCTGGTGCTGGAAGAGTAAGACACATATAATTTGAGTGGTTCTAGATATTGAAAAGCTTACATCTGTTGATATTCTTAACCAACATATTTTGTTGGGTTCTAGGATAAACTCTCCACTCTTGTATGGATTGTTTTTGACAGGAACTGGTGTTGCCAAAGAATGTATTTGATAATTCCATGAGACTTTTTTCATCGAAAGATATTATTTTATTTATATATGCAAATAATTGGGAAAAGCATGTGGGATAGCAATGACAAAGAGATGCTTCTTTCAATTTTGTTTCCCCATTTGAAAATAAGCCTTAGCAGTAGATTAGCTCAGAATTTCCATTTCAAATTGAAATAAGTCCTAGCAATAGATTAGCTTAGAATTTCCATTGAAGTTCAACAAATGGAGTAATATCCATTTATAAGTTCTTTTTCGCTTTGGAAGTGCAGGAGCTAAAGGTTAGGCCATCCCCTGTTGTCTTTGCAGCTTTTTCTGGGGGCCCAAAGGCTTGCATGTATAAGGTTCTTCAGGTAAGGATTTTGAGGTCTTGTACACCATACTTTTTTTTTATATAATTCATGTCCTTCAGTTGAAACAGGTCATTTGTTTATCTGTTGCTTGGATTCCTAAGCCAAGGTCAAATCTCAAGGGATCATTAATGTTGTATGTTTCTATTTATGTTATGGCAGTATAAATAATTTTATTCTTTTATTGCAGATAATTGATGGGAAGTGTGAAGGACTGCCCAATCTGGTAAGTTTTATTCTTTTATTTGGTTTTCTACTTTCCCCACCTCTGAATTTGTGCTATATATGTTAAAGTGATCAGATCAATTCCGGTTGCATCTGGAAGTTGTAGATCTCACAATCTTTAGACTCTCAAAATTTTCCTATGATTCAATGGTATATACTGTTTAGGTGCCTGATAATTCTTTGGTTTGTTTTGGTTAGTATGCTTGTGATTTAATAAACTTTTTATGTTAATTTTGTTTCATCTTTCTTTGTTCCTTTTTCTTGTTTAGGATGAGTACCACCTTGTCAGAGACTGTCTTTCTGGTCATATTTATGATTCTAGTCCTGTAGACTTTACCAGTGATTTGGGTGCTCGATTTGTTGTTCATCCTACAGTTCTTAAAATGCCTAGTCCACCTAGATTTGTATCATGGATAGCAAATGGCATTGCTTCTGGTCTAGATGCCCTGTTCCTAAATAGGTTTGAATCACAACGTGCTGAGTATTGGCAAACTCTCTACTCCTCAGTTGTAAGTTACGATATGAAGCATAGCCATTTAATCATTGTTCTTTTTTTCTTTCTTTTGCTTTAATAAATCCTAATTTATTTTGCAGAGCATTGGGGGTCCATTTCTAATTTTTTGTTCAGAAGATGATGAGCTTGCTCCCTTTCAAACCATCTGCAATTTTGCTCAGCGTCTACAAGACCTTGGGGCTGATGTGAAACTAGTGAAATGGAATGGCTCACCTCATGTAGGTATGCTATTAACAAACTTAACTGGTGTTTTTTATTATCATATTGCTAAATCCTTTTTCAAATAGGACAAAAAAGATATCCTTTTCTTCAAAGCAAACTGAGATACAGTTTTTCAGTTTTGGATAAACACAGGAAGTTTCTATTCAGGTGTTGTACCGTTGTACTTGAGTGTTCCTTATTTTAGCACTAGGTGGTCCTTGGCATCAATTTTATTTCCAGGATGAGTACTTAAGGGATGAGATTTGAGAAGAAAACATTTTTTTTAGGAAACTGACTTCTTTATCTCTGTAAGAGAACTCCTGTGGATGAATCTTGCGATGGAAAAGAAAAACCGATTCAGAATCACCAGAATGATTTCTGAAAGCATGCCAAACACTGTTATATGATTCCTTATTTCCCAGAAGCCTTGATACTGTCATGGTGCTTCTGTATTTAACCATAGTCATCTGTATTGCTGTCCTTCTGTCCTTGTAGGTCATTACAGACATTATCCAACTGATTATAAGGCTGCTGTGACCGAGTTGCTTGGGAAAGCTGCTTTAGTTTATTCTCGGAGAATCCAACAACTTGAAGGAGAGAGAATGGGAGTTGAAGGGTTGCATGATGGGATATCCAAGTCAATCTGCACCCCTCGGAAAGCAGCAGCTAGCTCAAGCCAGAGCTTAAGCAGAGTTGCTATTGGGCCGAGCGACCACTCTTTCTTTCCGAGCTCAGTGGAGTATCAAGAGGGTAGAGACGTAGGGTCATTACAAGATGAACAGAAGGAAGGATTGATCCATGTGCAGAACCCTCCAAGCATCAATGCTTATGGTGTTCTGGGTCAAATCCTCTTTGATGTGTGTGTGCCCAAGAACATTGAAGGTTGGGACATAAGGTCTGGTTCTTTGAATGGACAGCCACCTTCCGCAGGCAGGCATGTAGCTTTTAATCCCATCAAATGCATACGGCGCTCAAGACTTTAGAATAAACATCTTGATATTGCCTATGAATTTGCAGAATGAAAATATGGATCTCATTCAGAATGAAGATGTCCATGCTACTTGAAAGTGAATCTAATCCTTGTATCCCCATTTGATTAGAAATGCATAATTGAAAACTAAAGATGGAGATACAAGGAACCACAACTTTTGAGGTGTAAGGCTTGTGCTCCTGATCTTTCTAAAGGCCTGAAATGTACAGGCAACCTAGAGTTTAGTGGAGAGGGAGGGTTCAGCGTTCAGGCCTGAAGTCTAAAGTGATGTTAGAAGTTAGAACACATGATCTAACCTAAACATAAATTACGGTATTCTATCTCTATCACGTTGTCTTCTCCAGTTCTCCTAAACATGCACATTGACAATAACCCCACCCCCACCGAAAAAAAAAAATAAGGGAAAACTCTAACCTGACTTTACACGCTAAGAAGTCTGACCCTTATCTGATCATATAGATCATGTAGGAGTGGTAACCACTCTTATTAGGGTTTTAATTTGGGTTATGGTCAGAATAATATTAAATATAACTCAAAGAATATACTATTTGGGTTGGTTTGGATCGACTTGATTCAATTAGAAATGTTATCATGTTTTATCGGATCAGATGATGTAGGTTTTAACTTCTAACATTTGGACGTCGGATTGGGAATTAGAATTTTGAAGTCCATTGACAGCTCTCTACGTCTCAATGCCTTGAAAAAAAGGCAAAATTTTTGAACAGTTGTGTCAAGTCAGTTCCAGAACTTTAAAACATGTCTTTGCAATATTCTAAACTTTCAAATTGTGTTTAATAGGTTCTTACTGTTAGTTGATCATTAGTCAACACTGTCACATGACATAAGGTGCACATTAAATAATTTCAAAATGATGAAATTACCCTTTATGATATTTTTTTGACCATTTTACTCATTTTGTTTGAGTATTAAAAGAAGGAAAGGGGAAGGAGGGTTATGAAATCGAACAGGTGATCATCTGGTTATAGTTGATCGTTGAATGGGGGAGCTTGAAAAGGAGAGCGGGAACTTCAATGGTTGATCGGTGTCCAGTTTCATAACCTTTCTTCTAACACTCAAGTAAAATGGGTAAAATGATCAACAAAAATATCATAAAGGATAATTTTGCCATTTTGAAATTATTTAATGCACACTTGATGTCATGTGACGATGTTGACTAACAGTCAACTAACGGTAAAGACCTATTAGACACAATTTGAAAATGGGCAAATTTCTTAAACTACCCTTATGGTTTAGTTAATTGATTAATTCTATCCTTATTGTTTACATATTGTCTTAAAGTATCTCTATTGTTCTGGCAATTGACATTATCGTTAAGTATTAACCTAAAGAATGAAATATCAAATTTATATTTAACTATTCTTCAAATTTTCAAAATAAAATCCAATTGATGAAAATTTTCAAAATGATAGAAAGGAAATCGATGTTTCATCTCCATCTCCATCTCTAGCTTTGCCTTCATCTCCGTTTTCCGTAATTGAGGAGAACGAAGACTGTAGAGTTGCTGAAGTCAAGAGGAAATGGTAAAATTCTGATATGAAGAAAAACAAGGAAATTGAGAACGGAGTAGTGTGGAGTTGCCGAAGCCAAGAGGAAATGGTAAGAATCTGAAATAAATACATAAATACTATGCAAAGAAAAAGAGGTTCTTGATTTTTTGTAAGTAATTATCCTGTCCATCAAACGTCTGGAATCATGATTACCTTGTTCTTCACCGATTTTGTCCTTTTGTTGATGAGCTTTCAGTTAAAGAATTCCCCACAAATCTGTTACTTCAATTTTTTCCGTCCGAGTTTGATAAATTTCATCCTAATTCAGTCTTTATGAAACAAACATTTTAGTGCTCTGGGTTAAAGGGGTCTCGAGAAATTTGTTCCTTCAAATTTTACCGCCCGGTTTTCGTTGTAGCAAGGAGAGCTGTGGGAGATTTAAAAAAAAAGAAAGGAACTGATACAAAGGCTTCTTCCATTGGCTTACCGCAAAGCCAACGAATACAGATGCTACTTTTCAAAAACGGAGAGAGATAAGCCTCTGCAATCAGTTGAAAGAAATCTGGGTAAGTGATGAGAGAATTGCTAAAACTCATATGATATGCAAAAGCAATAGATTATCCGTTGAAATTCCAATTGCTTGACCTATTAATTAGTTAGAGGGTTTGCCCTAATAAGATAATGAAGAAATGAGAGCTTAAACAAAGTCATGACTACAGAAATGGAGATGCAACTTGGTTCAAGATATGCAAAAGAAGGCCCAGAGGCTTCTTCCGTTGGCTTTGTTGTTCAGTTGGGTTCTATTAGGCGTCAGCACTCAGCAGTGAAAAATCTTGTTTAAGCAAGCTGAGTTCTGTAGTATTTGGGGAAGCTGGTTTTCATAGCTGCGACATTCACCACTCGTTCAATTACTGCGATGGGCCTAGCTGTAATTTGAGGAATGAGATAAATCTTTTCTACGACCAGATCATGGCTACTGCGGAGGATCACTACTTTATTTCCAAAAGAGGGGCAAACACTAAAGATAAAGGAATAATTAATCAATTATTAAAATATTTAAGGGTACTTTAAAGACTCTCTCTCTCTGATATATATATATATATATATTAAAATATGGCGGTCAAAAAATTCTCATTTTTTTTGAAATTTTTATTTTTTTAATTCCATGTCATATTTTAAACAAACAATGAAATGCACTTTTCCAATAATCTAAATAATCTCTTCTCTAATTCCTATTTACCTTCTAATTTATCTCTAATTCCTATTTATCTCTAATTTAGTAGAGAGTTTCTTTCCTAGGTTATCTCTAAGTCCTATTTAACTCCAAACTTATCTCTAATTTAGTAAAGAATTTCTCTCCTAAATTATCACAAATTCCTATTTATCATATCCCCTACTTTCTATCCATATCTATCTAAAGAAAGTTTGGATTAAAAAATTAAGAATTATTTAAATATTCTAACAAAATTATATAATAAATTTAAAATATTTAATAAAAGCACAAAAATAATTTTATATTTTTACAAAATATATCACGAAATTATGTATTAACAATTTAAATTATGTTTTTCCAGCTTACCAATTTAAATGTTTTTCAAATATTTAATAATATGTAATAGCTTTAAATAAATAAAATTCAAATAACAAAAGATTTTAAATATTTTCTAGATTATTTAAATATTTAAATAACTAATATTTATCATAACTAGATTTTAAATAGTTAAAATAATGAAATTATGTAATAAATTAAAAAAAAATTCTTCAAAGTAGAAAAATAATTATAACATAATATTGGAATTAAGAATAATTTAATATATTACAAAATTGGTAATAAAATTATGTAATAATAGTATAAATTATGATTTCATGGATAACTAAATTTAATAAATAATTCATATTTTAAAATTTAAATATTTTACAATTATTTAATTATTTAAATAACAAAATATTTAACATAACTATATTTTAAATAGTTAAAATAAAGAAATTATGTAATAAATTTATAAAAATTCTGAAAAGTAGAAAAATAATTATAACATAATATTGAAATTAATAATAATTTAATATTTTTACATGATATTGTAAACAACTAATTTCAATTATATCAAGTAATAATCTGAGAAAATAAATTTCAAAAAAATTAATATTTATTAATAATAATTTTAAACTCTTAATTTGTATTTATTATATAATTATATATACTAAAATTAATATTTATTATATTTTAGTAATTATTTATTGTTTTTAGTGATAAGTGTATTTTCAATGATTATGTATAAATTTATTTTGTTTTCTTATCTATCAGAAAACTTTCAATAATTATTGGAGGTTAAATTACTATTATTGAAATTTTTAAATTTAATTTATTGTACTTATTGTATTTTTGTTATAACTTATTGATTAATATTAGACATTAAACTATTATTTGAGATTATACTATTTATTGACTAATTTAATATATTTTTAGTACTTATTTTATTTTTGTAATTATTGTATTTTTTCATTATCAATATATTTTCAATAATTATGTATTTTTGTTATAAATTTTCAATAATTATTGAAGATTAAACTATTGTTATTTATCAGAGAAGAGACTTAATTTAGCTTAAATTATGAGTGTTCATGAGTTGCTTCAATTCGGTCATAGGCTATTCGGCCAACCAAATTGACCTAGTCTGATTGGGGAGTTGGTCAGCTAAAACTGATTAACCTTTTGTGAAAACCGACCCACTCAAGTTGTATCAGTTTGGGTCGATTTTTTTGTTTGGTCACTTGGCTCAAAAGATTTGAACTTAAAAGTTAAATTTAATTTTAAAAATTATAGTGCAATTATTAAAAAATAAATTTAAAAATTAGATTTGTGATATAAACATTTTAGACTAAGAAATATGGGAAATTTCTCACTTTTCTATATTAAAAATTATATTTCAAAATAAAACATTAATATATAATATATAACCATGATTAGCCAAAGTGAAACTGATCCAACTTAGTCGAATTGGAAAATTTTTGAGCCAAAGCCAACCTAAACTACTAGAAAACCGACCAATTCGGGTTGAGTTGATCGGGTTGGTCGATTTCATCAGTTTGATGAATAAACCTAACTGAAATTAATTATTATTATTTTTGTATTATAAAAAAATTATTAAAATTAGTATATAAAATATGAATAATTATTAATTATTTACAAAGTTAAAAATATAAAACAATTATATACTCTTATGTGTTTCTATTAGAGTCATTTATTAGAATACACCTTATAGTTTTACATATTTACTTAAACTTACGTTATAGTTTTTATTTTATTAAAACATCCCATATATTTTACAACTTATTTACTTAATCAACCTTTCTTTAAGGAGTGTTTGTTTTGCCATTAGGCCCATAATTTTTTATTCCAAAAACACCCTTAACACTTTTTTATACATAAAAACAAAATTGACCAATTATAGCCAATAGAATGATTGCATGTCTTATTAAGGGCAAAATTGGCATTTTATTTTTATTTTCTTTTGATTAAATTTATTTAAATGAACATTAGGGTCAACACTATATATATATATTAAAACAAAGCAGTCAAAAAATTTTCTCCTTTTTTAAAATTTTTTATTTTTTATTCCATGTCATTTTTTAAACAACCAATAAAGACTTTCCCAATAACCTAAATAATCTCTTCTCCTAAAATTTCTCTTAAACTACCTCCCCCGCTATCCCCCACTTTCTCCAAAATTATGTCTAATTTCTATTTATATTCTAAATTATTTCTAATTCCTATTTATCTCAAATTATCTCTAACTAGCAAGGTCCATGCAATGCACAGGAAAGCCCAATATCCAATATCATTTCGCAAGGGATTAAGAGAAAATGTAAATCTTACATCATTTTGTCTAAAGAAAAAAATAATGAAAAAACCATAAATCCATTTAAGTCGACAATATTATATTTCAATTGAACCAAATCAATTTGAATACAATCCAAGCATTAAACTAAGAGAGGGGGCATCCAACCATACAACAGAAACACCTCCTGCATACATGTATTGGAAATATTCCCAATGTGTGGTTGAATGTTCATGCTCTTAAAGTGCTAGTACGTTTTTCTGATTTCAAGAGATCCAAGCTCCTGGTGAGAGGCCAATTTCCTTGATGATGTGCAATTTCCTATAAAATTAACAAATAAAAGAAAATTGATGATGTGCAAAGTTAGTATTAGAGCAACTTAATTTGGATTATACTGTTTTATTGTACATTACAAATTGGAGACTACACACCAATTGTGGAGGGAATAAATGATTATATTTGACCCAAAGTAGAAACTCCAACATCAAAACCACCATCTCTGCTCCTTATCAAAGTCTCTTCATCCTGTAATTCTGTATCAATTGCTCCAAATCTATATAAACTCCTCCAGTTGAAGCAAAGGTCTGCCCATAGCTATCTGTCATCTTCATGGTCTTCAATCTAGGAAATGCAACGGTTCTCTCAACACCTGGAAAATAATACCAAGTGCATGGTTTCCCAAATGGTACCTACAACTTAACCCATGGTTGCACCTTTAATTATCTTCTCCTCGTCCTCCAAGTACCTAAGCTCTGATAGGTCTATGGTTATCTTCTACTGAAAGCTAATTGCAATACATACAAACCATAAAGCATTAGAATGGCAATAATAATGAATCATCCAAACATTCTACATATTGCTCACCGCAAATCTATGCCATGAAAGAAAAATAACTGAAAACTGTAAATTACCATTAAATATCTACAAATAAATGTGATAAAGAAAATGATATAAATATAAGACTCCTGCTTCTCATAAGCTTAAGGGAGCTGGTTATTGGTTTATTATAGAAATTATCGTCAAATTGAGATTCTAACTCTGCAAGTGTTCACCCGGTTATTGGTTTATCATAGAAATTTTTAAACCAAAATGTGCTCTATTTTGTCTTGTCCATTTGGAACTATTACGGGTAAGTCTAGCAACCTCATGTTTCATATTTGTTTTTCATTTTTTCTAATTTATTATGGACAAATAAGTAAAAGATAGAAATACCCAAAACAAGACATTTTCAAAAACATCCCCAAGTAATAGCACATCACATTTCTAAGAAAATAGAATAAATGCAAAAAAGAAAAAAAAAACACTCATATTGGGCCAGGTAGGAAGCTTCAAAGACACTAATATGAATCCAATTGCACAACTAAGAAAAATTAGAAACCAACAAAATACTAACCAACTTACTGAATAGTAACAACATAAAGAGGCGTTGTTCCTTTAAACTTCCAAAGACCCAACCAACTTGTTGTGTGTCTGCCATTGATGAAACTTATATTGTATATGTAGCAAAGAATTAACCATTGATTTAAAAAATTGGAGACAGTAATTCAAGATTGGGTGTCCTATATAGGTTGGGTCCTTTACCTATGGGAGCAATTTTATTGATTTACTGAAGTCCGTGGAAGTAACAAATCTGGTGTAAACTACAATTGATGATTACTGTACTTATTTACCCAACATAAAGATAGGCAAACAAAGAATGTCTTAATATCCCAAACAGTGCAGGAAAAAAAATATCCTAACCAAATAAAGATCAAAAGCAAAGCCACATACCTGAAAAACATTGGCAAAAAAAATAAGAACAATAGAAACCAAAATGTACAAAGCTAACTTGGTAAGAATGACAACACAAAAAAGAAAATAATAAAAAATAACAACAGACTAAACTCCTATCATAATAAAAAAGAAAATAAAAATTCATAAATTTAATAAACACAACACCCCAAAAAGGATGGCACTTTAAATATAACGAAACAAACATTGGTTTTAAAATCTAACCAAACCAAACATCAGTAGCCCTCACAACCACCACAGGATTCAAACCAAACACCAACCACCAAGCTCTGAAAAGACCAGACTCCGGTAATCGCCTTCCACTCCCAAATAGTTGTAGAAAATCATCAAATCAACCAAAGAACTTCCACTCCCACACAAAAAAAAAAGTCATTTTTGTCAACAATCCACCAAACCACTCCCAAATAACAACAACAAATCACATAATCCACCATAGAACCTCCACTCTCACACCACAAAATAGCTAATCCAATCAGCATTTGGATAACCTACATAACCACCACCCATAGAACATAATTGTCGCCGTGCAATAAAGAGCACCACTGAAACCAACAAAGCCACTACTAAACCCCAACACAAACATCAAATTGATGGCATCAAAAAACACCCATGTCTGCTTGATCAATAGCTAAACCATGAACAAAACCCATCTTCCAAAAAAAAAAGACAATGAACAATCAAACAAAAGATCAGTAATAAAATACCAGAAAAAAGGGTAAAATCAACATCTCTAAGCCGAATAGGATTAACCAAACTATAAGTCTCCAAACCCTATTGAACACCAGAAGTCACAACCAAGACAACAGCAGGGAATAACCTCGTCATTGAAAACCTGCTAATTAAACCCTTGAGAAAAACAAAAAAGGTAATTAATATGACTAACCCTAACACGCATAAACCAAATACTATACATGCAAGCCAATCCCATCAAATCCAAGAAAAAAAGATGCAAAACCATCAAAAAAAAAAAATTAATAATCGACATCTCCAAGGCAAATCTATACAAAACTGAATAATCCTCCATTTTCGTGCAATCCTTAGCATCTCTGTCATCAGTAAACCCTCTTTTCCTTGTAAGAGAAAACAGAACAAAATTAAACAAAATAAAGGCAAATAAGAAAACAAAAACATTAATGTACCCACCAGATGGCCAAAGATACTTTTCAAAAAACCAATAGCTCTGCATGTCGTTTTGCCAATTTAGACAATCCCTGAATGAAGCACAATCCAAATAAGTACTCAAACCCTAAGAGAACCTTGAAAAGAAGAAATCAATATAAACAAAACAAAGAGAGAGAGAGAGATCTTGGTCCAGGTCCTTTTCCCTCGACACTTGGTGAAAAACAAAAGGGAGGATAGGGCGGGAGACGTTTTGGAAGTCTAAACGTACGTTTCATTGGTTCTTTTGCAAATTACGTGGATTAAAAAAATCAAAAATTAGAAAATTAGAAAGGGGGATTTAATGCAAGGAGAACTATGTTGACATGGCAGGATCAGTTCTAGTAGAGAGTTTTTCTCCTAAATTATCTCTAATTCTTATTTATCCTCTACCCAACTTTTTATCTATATCTATATAAATAAATTTTAGATTAAAAATTTAAGAATTATTTAAATATTTTAAAAAATTATATAATAACATTAAAATATTTATTAAAAATACAAAAAAATAATTTTATGTTTTTACAAAATTTATGTACCAATAGTTGAAATTCTATTTTTTCTGGATTATCAATTTAAATGTTATTCAATTAATAAAACTTAACATTAAAAAATAAAATCTTATTCAAATATTTGAATAAATAAATATCATAAATATATAAATAACTATATAACAAAATATTTAGTAATAAGTAATAGCTTTAAATAAATAAAATTCAAATAACAAAAAAATAAATATTTTACATATTATTTAAATATTTAACATAACTAGATTTTAAATAGTTAAAATAACAAAAATAAGTAATAAATTTAAAAATTTTCATAAAAGTAGAAAAATAATTATAACATAATATTGAAATTAATAATAATTTAATATCTTACGAAATTAACAATAAAATTATGTATTAATAGTATAAATTATAATTTAATGGATTATTAAATTCAGTAAATAACAAAAAACTTTAAATATCTTACACATTATTTAGATATTTAAATAACTAAATATTTAACATAACTAGATTTTAAATAGTTAAAATAACAAAATAATGTATAGCATAATATTGAAATTAGTAGTAATTCAATATCATACAAAATTAATAATAAAATTATGTAATAATAGTATAAATTATAATTTTATGAATTATTAAATTCAATAAATAGTTAATATTTTACATGTTATTTAAGTAGTTAAGTAACTAAATATTTTAAATAAAAAATATTTAACATAACTAGATTTTAAATTAGTTAAAATAAAGAATTTATGTAATAAATTTAAAAAAATTTATATGAAAAGTAGAAAAATAATTATAACATAATATTGAAATTAATAATAATTTAATATTTTACAAAATTAATAATTAAATAAATTTAATATTTTTACATAATATTGTAAGTAACTTATTTCACTTATATCAATTAATAATTAAAGAAAATAACTTTCATAAAAATTAATATTTATTAATAATAATTTTAAACTCTTAATATATATGTATTATATAATTATATATTCTAACATTAATATTTATTGTATTTCAATAATTATTTATTGTTTTTTGTGATAAATGTATTTTCAATAATTATGTATAAATTTATTTTTGTTTTGTTATTTATCAAAAAACTTTCAATAATTATTGGAGATTAAACTACTATTATTGAAATTTTTAAATTTTTTTTATTGTACTTATTGTATTTGTTATATAACTTATTGATTAATATTTATTAGAGATTAAACTATTATTTGAGATTATACTATTTATTGACTAATTTAATATATTCTTAGTACTTATTGTAATTTTGCAATTATTGTATTTTTTTCATTATCAATATATTTTTCAAGAATTGTGTATTTTCGTTATAAATTTTCAACAATTATTGGAGATTAAAATATTGTTATTTATCAAAGATGAGAGTATTAATTTATCTAAAATTATGAGTATCCATGAGTTGGTTCGGTTCGGTTGTAGGTTGTTTTGCCAACCAAATTAGCTTGGTAAGTTGAAAACAATTGATCATTTGTGAAAACCGACCCACTCAAGTTATATCAGTTTGGGTCGATTTTTTGGTTTGGTCAATTGGTTCAAAAGATTTAAACATGAAAATTAAGTTTGTTTTAAAAATTATAGTGTAATTATTAAAAAAAATAAATTTAAAAATGAAATTTATGATATAAAACATTTTAGACTAAGAAATATGAGAACTTTCCCACTTTTCCACATTAAAAATTATATTTAAAATATAAAATATTAATATATATCAATGGTCAAGTCATCCGATTTTGGTCGATTTACAAATGGCCAAAGTGAAACCGATCCAATATGGTCAAGTCAAGTTGATCGGGTTGGTCGGTTTCATTAATTTAATGAATAAACCTAACTAAAATTAATTATTGTTATTTTTGTATTATAAAAAATTTATTAAAAGTAGTATATAAATTTTGAATAATTATTAATTATTTAAAATTTTGAAAATATAAAATAGTTGTATACTCTTATGTGTTACTATTAAAGTATTAGGGTCATTTAGTAAAACACACCTTAGAGTTTTACATATTTACTTAAACCCACCTTATAGTTTTCATTTTAATAAAATATCTCATATATTTTACAACTTATTTACTTAACCAACCTTTCATTAAGGAGTGTTTGTTTTGCCATTAGGGCCATGATTTTTTATTCCAAAAATACCCTTATCACTTTTTTGTATAGAAAACAAAATTGACCAAATATAGCCAATATAGCGGTTGCTCGTGTCTTATTAGGGACAAAAATGGTATTTTTATTTTTATTTTCTTTTAATAAAATTTATTTAAAAGAACATTATGGTCGACATTGTCATTTTCCACTGTCATCTAATGGAAGATTGATTAAATCCATAGCAAATTATAAGTGGTGTTTTAGTAAAATACAAACTATAGGGTAGATTTTAGTAAATCCATGAAACTATAAGGGATGTTTTAGTAAATGACCCTTTCTATTCTTTAGTTTTCGCTTAACAAATCCCGTGTATCGTACAGGTCCCCACTAGTATATATTAAAACAATGCAGTCAAGAAATTCTCTTCTTTTTTTTTGAATTTTTGTTTTTTTTATTCCATGTCATTTTTGAAACAACCAATGAGACACAATTTTCCAATAACCTAAATAATCTCTTCTCCTAAAATTTATACTAAACTACCTCCCCCACTTTCTCAGAATTATCTCTAATTCCTATTCATCTTCTAAATTATCTCTAAATATTTTTTATATACACAATTATTTTTAATTTAGTAGAGAATTTATCTCTTAAATTATCTCTAATTCCTATTTATCCTCTCCCCTACTTTTTATCTATATCTACCTAAAAACAGTTTGGATTAAAAAATTTAAGAATTATTTAAATAATCTAACAAAATGATATAATAACTTTTAAATATTTATTAAAAACACAAAAAATAATTTTATATTTTTACAAAATATATCATGAAATTATGTAAATTTACATTATGTTTTCCGGATTATCAATTTAAATGTTTTTCAAATATTTAATAATATGTAATAGCTTTAAATAAATAAAATTCAAATAACAAAAAAAATTAAATATTTTATAGATTATTTAAATATTTAAATAACTAAATATTTATCATAACTATATTTTAAATAGTTAAAATAACGAAATTATCTAATAAATAATTTTATATTTTTACATCATGAAATTATGTACTAACAATTTAAATTATGTTTTTCTGGATCATCAATTTAAATGTTTTTTCAAATATTTAATAATATGTAATAGATTTAAATAAATAAAATTCAAATAACAAAAAAATTTAAATTTTTTATAGATGATTTAAATATTTAAATAACTAGATATTTATCATAATTAGATTTTAAATAGTTAAATTAACGAAATTATGTAATAAATTTAATAATTCTGAAAAAGTAGAAATAATTATAACATAATATTGAAATTAATAATAATTTAATATATTACAAAATTAATAATAAAATTATGCAATAATAGTATAAATTATGATTTTATGGATAATTAAATTCCATAAATAACTAATATTTTAGAATTTAAATATTTTACATATTATTTAAGTAATTAATTAACTGGGTATTTTAAATAACAAAATATTTAACATAACTGGATTTTAAATAGTTAAAATAAAGAAATTATGTAATAAATTTAAAAAAATTTTGAAATGTAGAAAAATAATTATAGAATAATATTGAAACTAATAATAATTTAATATTTTTACATGATATTGTAAATAACTAATTTCACTTATATCAAGTAATAATTCAAGAAAATAACTTTCAAAAAAAATAATATTTATTAATAATAATTTTAAACTCTTAATTTGTATTTATTATATAATTATATATACTAAGTTAATATTTATTGTATTTCAGTAATTATTTATTTTTTTTAATAAATGTATTTTCAATGATTATGTATAAATTTATTTTGTTTTGTTATTTAATAGAAAACTTTCAATAATTATTGAAGATTAAACTATTATTAGTGAAATGTTTAAATTTAATTTATTGTACTTATTGTATTTATTGTATTTATTGTATTTTTGTTGTAACTTATTGATTAATATTTATTAGAGATTAAACTATTATTTGAGATTATACTATTTATTGATTGAGTTAATATATTTTTAGTACTTATTGTATCTTTGTAATTATTGTATTTTTTCATTATCAATATATTTTCAATAATTGTGTATTTTTGCTATAAATTTTCAATAGTTACTAGAGATTAAACTATTGTTATTTATCAGAAATGGGACTATTAATTTAGTTGAAATTATGAGTGTTCATGGGTTGGTTCGGTTCGGTCGTAGGCTATTGGCCAAGCAAATTGACTTGGTTAGGTTGGAGAGTTGGTTAGTTGAAACCGATTGACCTTTTGTGAAAACTAACCCACTCAAATTGTATCGGTTTGGGTTGATATTTTGGTTTGGTCAGTTGGTTCAAAAGATTTAAACTTAAAAATTAAATTTAATTTGGTTGGTTTACAAATGGCCAAAGTGAAATTGATCCAACTTGGTCGAATTGGGAAATTTTTGAACCAAAGCCGACCTAAAATACTAGGAAACTGACCAACTCGGGTTGAGTTGATTGGTGATTGGAATAGTCGGTTTCATCAGTTTAATGAATAAACCTAACTGAAATTAATTATTGTTATTTTTTGTATTATAAAAAAATTTATTAAAAATA